GGAAAGAAGAAAAACAGAGAAATTTTCGAAGTAGGGGGGAAAGGGGAATGAAAAGTGAGGGGGAAAAGAAAGAAATAGGTGGAGGGGAAAGAAAAAGATGAAGTGGGAGGTAGGGGGAGCGGGTGGTGGTAGTTGGGGGAGAGGAGGGATGGGGAAAGGTGGACAGGGATCAAGAAGCAAAGAGGAAAGGAGTAAGAAAAGAAAGAAATAAAAGAAGGAGAGTAAAAGAATGGGTGTTGGGAGAAAGGTGGGGTGGGGAAGATAAAAGGAGGAGAGAAAGATGCAGTGGAAGGTGGGGAAAAGAGAGGGGGTGAGTAAGAGGAAAGAGGAGAGGTAGGGAGAGTGGGTTAGTAGAGGGAGAGGGGAGAAGGGAGTGATACCTGGCATTTGGTGTCTCCAAGGGCACAAGGTACACCAAGACAAGGAGGGTCTTGGTCTTTGCTGAAGCGGCCAGTTGGAGGAGAGAGGGGGCTGAGATCTTGATCAGCCCCCAGCAGCACTCCTGCAGATGTGTAGATGTAGGGTCTGCTGTGTGAGCAGGCCCTCCGCACTGTAGAGCAGCCCCCTAAGCAGGGGGGGTCTTCAGCCACGTGCACAGGCAGGTAAATAGCCAGCACGACACCTCTTCAACACGAGTGTGTCCTGCTACAAAGCCATGGACACACTGTGGCGAGTGTGTTATGAGGCTGCTTACGCACGCGCATGGCTCCGGCAGTGCCTAGGTTCAAACCCCTACAGCAGCAGTTGCATCCCGGATCTTGATAATATAAATCCGGGAGCGGGGCGGGACGGGGCGTGTGGCGCGCACGCGTGCGGCGCCCTTGGCCTTGGCGCTTCCGCGCACGCGTCGTGATGCAGCTTTCTTTTTCGCCACGTGGAACTCTCCTGTTGCAGCACCTTTTCCCGTCGTTTTTTCCGCTTTTTTGCCCGAAAACGCCCCAAAAACAGTCAAAACCCGACTGTCGGGTTTTGCAGTATTTCGCTGCTGTGCGGTGTGGTGGGTGGGGGTGGGGACCGTTCCTGCTCCGATACCGAATGTAGCGGACCCACCAGGTGTGGTGCTCCGCTAGTGACAGAGATGGAGAATGGAGGAAGAAGGGGGAGCAAGATGGCACAACGCAGCTCCCCACGCAAGACTCCAACGCACGTACTCCAAAATGTGCAAGTGAGGAATGAGACTGAAAACAGACAATGGCTGGGGTATACCCCAGCGGACTGACGGGACTGGACTGGACTGGCTGGTACCGACAGAGGTACCGGCCTGGACTGGCCTACCCCGAATGTAACACAGACCTGTGAGAACAGGCCAAGGGGCTGGTCTCACAGGCCAACCCGAGGTCCGCTACACACCCCTCGCGACATCCCATAGCGAGGGACGCCTATCAGAGTAATTGGGGTTGTGGCCGAGGATTTTTTGTCGGGGGTTGAATCACCTGGACGCCGTGGATGGAAGGGGGGATTCTTGCTTCGTTCCGAGGCGGTTCCAAAGTTAAGGTCGACGTAGGGGACAAAAAGTAAATACTAGGGGACTCAAGGGGTTAAGCAGGGCCGACGAGCGGGGTATAATTCAAAATTTCGCTCTGCCAAGGAGGCGGGGAGCGGTTATGTATAACCCGCGGGCATGACCGCGGGCCGTTTTACCACACGTGGATCCCGACCTCGGCGGCGGACCGCCCGCGGCCGAGTGTGGTCGGAGAACCCTGACATTTTTAATTCCTAGGATAATAGGCCAAAAAACAAAAAATAAATATGGGGTTGTAGGGTTTCCAAAACCCTACATCTCGATATTTTTTGTTTTTTGTTTTGTTGTTTTTTGTTAGTTAAAAAAAATAGAAAACGAAAAAAACAAGTATTAAAATCAAAAGAAACATAATTAAAAAAAGAGAACCTTTTTATTTTTATTTTTTTCTGATTGCTGGTGGGATAATCATGGTGCTCATGTTTCTTTGATTCTTTCTTTTTACCTATATATGCAAATATGAAAGGAACAAAAAAAAAGAAGATAATAATGTAAAGAAAAAACAAAGTCATTTTTTTTTTTTTATTTTTTTTTTTTTCATTTTTGCTAGACACACACACTGATTGATTGATTGATTGATTGATTGATTGATTGTGATTAGTTGATTGATTGATTGATTGATTGATTGATTGATTGATTAATTAATTAATTGATGGATTATGTGTGCGTCCGTGCGTGTGTGTGTGTGTGTGTGTGTGTGTGTGCGCGTGTGCGTGTGTGCGTGTGTGCGTGTGCGCTATGGGTGTGTAAACACGACCATCCCGTTTGCAGTGGGAGGGGGGACCATATCGACGTCCGCAAAAGTTAGCGACAGGAGAGAGCTCTATGCTAATTAGTCTCCTATTATTAAGGAGAAAAAACCTTTCTGTACGCCATAGGGGAGGTGGGTGGGGGGTGAGGGGGGTGAGGATTAGGTAGGGAGTTGTTAGGAGATTATGAGGTTAGAAAGTGTTAGAACCGGCTAGATTAAAAGCCGAAGGGGGGGTGCTTGTGAGTGTCTGTGTGTGTGTGTGTCGGGGGGAGGGTTGGGGGCACCTCCCCGACCAATCAATCAATCAATCAATCAAAAAATAATCAAGCAATCAAAATTTATTTTGTTTTTTCGTTTTTTTTTTTTCACACACGAAAAACGACCTTCCTAAAAATTATTATTATTATTATTATTTGGTTTGACGGGGTAGGGTCAAGGTCCTGGTACCCGAATCCAAACCCCCCACCCCCAGCCCCCTCTCCCCTCCGCCTTGGCGGGCCGCGGGTGTTTCGTAGGGGAGTGGTGCGAGAATAGGCCGACGACTGACGACTCAAAAGAAAAGAAAAGGAGGGAAGAGAGGAATTTATCGCTTCTCTCGCACTAGGTTAACGCTAACGCTATGGCAAGAACCTCAGAGATAAGGCGCATCTAGGCTTCCCAGTCGGCGCCATCGAGTCCCCGAGGTCGGTTAGGTGCGACATCGTCCGATTGCGACAAGGTCAGGGTTAGAGAAGTGAACCCGGTCGGTGCGGAACAGCGCACTCCGCACGTCCGCATCGCAGTACACACTGTCTTCGTCTGCGATCGGGAAGGGCGGGAGGGTAAAGTGGCGGATCAATGAGAGGGTCGAGCACGGGCAGTTACCCACACTCATGTTCAAGAAGGTGAATCTCAACTCAATACAAATCTTAATAGGTCTCGCCCCACTCCCTCTTTCTTAATCAAAATGCAAGTTCAGGGACACATCGTTGTTAATCACAGACTTGTTACCAAGACAAAATGGCTATGGTCGGGTAGCAGAGAGATTGGGCGACGCGTGTTGACGCGTGCGACAGGTCTCCCTGCTTGCCGACAACCAGGCGGAGGGAATGTAGGACCAATTGACGTGTGGCACTCACGCATGAGAGAGGAGAGAGGGGAAAAAAGGTAAATTAACCCGCTCATGGGGCTGCGCGAATTT